AAGAGATCTTTGCAAGTGTATGACAAAACTTGATTTCTTGCATTTATATTTGGTGTCCACTGACCCATTACTTTTCAAAGTACAGGGTTTTGTAATCTAGAAAAAGAAATTTTGTAGTGGAGGGAATTTGGATAACACTGGTATATAAAGAAAGACCAAGGGGTTCTGAGGGTAAAAGTCCACAAAAGAAGCAAAGGGTTTCTATGTGAGGCCAGACTCAGATGGATTATGGATATTGAAGCAGATCTTTAACTTATTGATGCAATTTTATCTGTAACCATTTTTCAGAGCGTTGAAAACTGACTGTTACATTGTAGATGACTTTTGGAATTGAAACAGGGATAATAGCAAAATACGAGCCCTTGCTATATTCCATTCGCTGTGCTAAGCAATTTATATGAATCATCTAATTTAACCTTAGTATCAACCCACTAGAGCAGATATTTTACTTAAGTGCATTTTACAGAAAAGAAAATTTAAATGCAGATATTTAATGTGAATTGACCCAGCCAGCATGGGTCAGATTTGAGGCCCTGGCTCATGCATGTATGACTTTCAGCGTCATTTTCTCACCGTTAGTACTCCCCACACCACTTCTCATCGAGTCACAAATGTTAGGGACCTCTTGAAGAGTCCATGTGCTCCTCTGTACAGTGCGGCCTCCCATGTCTACTACTGTTAGTAGTACTATCTACACTTAAATCATTCTCATTAAGAAAATGATTACTGTAACATTATGAAACACTACAGGCTGCAAATATGTTTCTGCTCAAACCACAGTGAAGTGGAGGAATTGTCTGCTTGAATTTCATAGCATCAATAGCTTTCTAATCAGCCTCCCAGCTTCCTTTGTCCACCTGTCAGTCAGAGATCTGATGTAAGTGTCACTCAAGTCATGCTGGTCCTTCGCCTAAGATGTACCGTGGTTTCCCACATCATATAAGACATAACTCAAAGTTTTCTCCTCAGTTTACAGGGCTCCCTGTACTCCAGCACACACCCTGTCTGGCTGTCTTCTACCACTTGCCTTCCCCACCCCCACAGATCAGTCTAGCAGGACCCTGGGGTGTCTACTCAAATGCTGACAAGTGTTCCTGGTTTCGACATCCTTGTGTTTGATTCCTTCTTGGCCATTTGAACCAATCTTTTTCTGTCACATTATTTCCCTTTTACCTCAGATGTGGCTTTCCTGAATATATTCCTGGATCACCCTAACTAGGTAGTATGAAATAGCACTAACACTCCACCTCACCATCTTTTTCACTGTCTACCTTTCAGCCTGCTTGAGTTTCTCCTTGATAAGACATATTATACGTTTATTTGCTGAAATAGCTATAATTGGTATGATTCCCTCACTTCTACTAAAACAGTCTCTGTGAGAGAGCAAAGGAAAAGGACTTGATTTGTATAAGTCACTAAACATTGAAGAAGAAATCAACGGCAGTCCATTTCGGCAAGCAAGGAAAATCCCATGGAGGAGTGCGAAAAACTCTCCTTCCTCAAAAACTTCTGAGGGACAGGAGCAGAAATCCCATGAAGCGGCTTCCAAAGCCCCAGCGAACAGGAACTTGTGCTGGAGATGTCAATATTTCATTCCCTGAAATATTCCCAGAGTAGGAAATAATGCCTGACATGGTCTATGAATGTAGCATAAAAAGAATGAATGAGTGCTGAATGAACGAATAAATGAGCGAGTGAATAGTATGTATTAGTGCCCATTGTGTTAAAGATACTATTCTTAGAAGTTTTCTTTTGTCTATGTATTTTCCCAGGACCTACCTGAACTTTACCATAATTCATAAAATCTATAAATACTGGACTATCGCATCACTAATAAATAATTTGAAATAAACCTGAGAAGAAGCTTTTCCTAATGAAGAAGCTCAAATAAAGGGTACTGGGGAATCTTGTTATTCCTAAAAGCTTTATTTCTCTAACCACACAGCTAGACATGTTTAGAAGTCTGTCCTAGGTTATGCCCATTTCAGAGTCTACATGCGTACCTATGAGTGTATGTTATGCCTGAAAACAGTTAACCAGCAATTTCAACTTTGATGCTGGCTTCGGTGTATCCTGATACTCCAGGATCTGAACCATCTGAAGCAGTGCAGTCTGACTTTATCCTACACTCCTACGGGGAACTGCTGCTGTCCCCTTCCAACACCGCTTTATCATGCCATTTTCACGCATGGACCTCTGGATGTTTCTCTGGCCCTTACTCTTAGGACCTCGGCTGATCTAGCCTGTGATTTTGTATGCTTTCCAGCCTTCACTATACCTCACATCCACTTCTCTAGCTGTAACATTATTTTATCTTCAAAATTTTAGAAGATATTTTAATTTAATAAGTACAAGGTATCATGAACAAAACTATGGAGTAGATAAAGAAATCATTAAATATATTTAGTGTCAATAGCCACATATATTTAACATCTACTGATATTTATTTCATTGTTACTTAGGTTTGCATATCCCACCCAAGACGTACATGGCATATTTCCCATTTCTATAGTGTGCAGCATGATGTACTTTCCTGGATGTGAGAAATGAGATTTCAGTTAAAGTTTAAACACAAGAATAACAGCTTTTCTGCATATCAGAAAATTCTACCCGAGGTCACTAAAAATAGTTGTCATTATTTAGTTTTTTTATTAGAAGATATATTTGTCTTCATTTATTATGTACAATTTGTTGTTTTAAAGTGTGTATATGTTGTACAATGATAAAATCTAGCTAATTAACATAGGCATTACATCAGAGAGCAATCATTTTTATAGTGAGGTGCTTTACATGCAAACTCAAGCTTTTTCAAAAATAATATATTGTTTTTTATTTTAAATTAAATAAAAACAATGGTATAAATTCTCAAAACAAGATTGTAGGAGAGTAACAATGGTTAGTACATTGTATGTTGTTATCTTCAAAGTAGTTGCTCATATCAGAATATAATACATTGTTGACTGAGTCACCGTGTTGGACAACTGATCTCCAAAATGTATTCCTCCTTTTGGCCTGACTTTTTGTATGCTTTAACTAATATCTTTTCAACTTTCCCCCATTCCCAACCAAATAAGCCTCTGAGAACACCACTTTATATTCTACTGTTATGAGATTTCAGATTTAGATTCAGATTTCTCATATGAGTAACCCCATATGATATTTATGTTTCCATGCCTGACTTGCTTCCCTTGACACAATGTCCCCCAGGTTCATCCATGTTGTTGCAAATGCCAGCATTCACAATAGCCCCCTGTTCAACTTTCATGAAAAAGTAGTATAAAGCATGGTAAAGTATGAAGTAATCTAGTACATGAACTACCACATGTACATATTAGTATATATTTAGAAGTAAATATGATTCTTAAATGGTAGGGTTGAGTTGTTTGTTATTTATCAGTTTTAAAATGCTATTATTACTTTGTCACATGGCCTTATAAAAGTGTATTCTGAACAAAGATTTTTATGATACATGTGTTATGGCTGTGTCTGGATGTCTCCCAAAGCCTCATGCAGTCCTAGTGGGGGTTTTTTAGAGGTAGCTGGATATAAACTAGGTGATGCTGTGATTAAAAGTGTATGATTACTAAATCAGTACCGTGATTGGTTTGGCACCTCCCTTAAGCCCAGTAGCCCAGATAGAATACAAGAGACACAGAGAAAAGCTGCTTAGTTCCCTTGGACTTGCTTCTTCACAGCTTTGTTGCTCTGCTCCCTTCTGCGTGTATGGACTGCTTCTTCTCTGCAATTCCTCTCTGCCATGCCCCTGCCTTGGAGCCAGCCAATTATGCGCTGAACTTCTACAATCTGAGCCATAGTAAACCTTTTCTCCTTTAACTTTGAGTGTCAGGGATTTTGACTCAGCAACAATAAAAGTGGCTAGCACAACATGATGAAGGCTATGCAAAGAGAAGTACGAAATTAAAAGACATGACATAGTTTGAATACTGGCTAGGATTGAAATAAACATTTAAATAATTAGGTTATTGGGAAAGATGGTATATATCTCAGTGCTAGAGCACTTAGGTAGAAAGCCCATCATCCTGAGTTCAATACTCAATATGCCACTTAGAAGGTTTTACACAGTAAAAGGCCAAAATGGAAAGTTGCTATAGCATATGAGTTAAAAAGTATTTGTGCTTTATTAAATGCATGTGTGTGACTTCTAACTGTGTTATTTTTTGTAAACTTTGCACAATAGTTCTTGGAGGCTAGACAAAACAAATGTAATTAAATTACATTAAAATGTAATTAAATTTTCTACTATTAAAATGTTTAATATATGACATCAAACCCATCCCATCATTCCTAAAATAAGGCACCCCTCATATGCATCACACAGAACGCACTGGGAAATGTCAGTGTCTGTGCTTCCAGGGTGATAAACGTCGGACTCTATTGATCTTGGTTAGCTGTGCAGTCTCCTCCGCAGCCTATTCAATGCTCACCTGTTCTTTTGCTAATTGTTACTGCTTTAGCTTTATTGAAATACATGCTTTTTGTGTTCTGTGCAAATCCCACCTGTCTTAGTTATTTTTCTCTTGTTGCTGAGACAAAATACCCAACACCTAAAGTTAAGGAAGGAAAGGTTTGTTTAGCACAGTTTGTGGAGGTTTCAGTACATAATCAGCTGGCTCCAAGGCAGGGTGGTATGGCAGAGGGGCAACAGTTCATGGTAAAAGCAACAAGAGCAAAAAAGGAGGAGCAACCGTCTTCTCCATCCCTTATATTGTGTGCAGGCTACTGCTCTAAAGTGGTGTAGCACTCACACGCCCAATTCCAGCACTAGACAATGAACCAGTCAAAAGCTCTAGGTTCAGCAGCCTCTGAAAACCCCGTACACCGTGACCACATAGGGCTCTGGGGAAACATCCAAACACAAACCGTAACACCTACCTTTGCTGAAAAATGCCTTTAGAGATCCTTTCCAAAAACAATAGTGGCTTTATAAACCACTGTACCTTCATACTCTGTACTTAATAAAGAGCATGAATATACCCAACAACAAATTGCAAGTGACCAGGCGTGAATCACAGCCTCAACAGCGAGATTATCAGGATCATATTCAGCAGTCCTGAGTGAGACCGACCTGTAAAAAGATGGTGGTTTGTGGTTACCAAACAAATGATACTATTTCTAAGGCAGCAGTGCTGCAGTATAAATACTTGATAGATCTACATTAACTAGTTATTCCATTTAAGCTGAGCTGGAAATGGTGAATACTTTGATTTTGTCTTTTCCATTAAAACTAGTAATTATTTTGCATTGAAGTAAAAATTTAACCGATTTTATTTTCTTTAAGATAAAGGTTTAATCCATTTATAGACGTGTAAAACTTTTAAAACAACAGCTTTTGTTGTTTTCAATTTATAATTACTATTCCTTGCACAATGAGCATGATCTTCAATGCAAATAAATTGTACTAGGAACTAAGTAGCAGTGTTAATAGACAACCACTAAAAGGAATCCAAACAATCATATTTCTGATGTAAAAGATAAGTGAGAAATAAGGAATATATCCTCTTTCAATAATAGTCAAAGGCCATGTCTTTTTTTAAAAGAAAACACCGGTTTATAGATTATATGTGTTGGTTATTTTAACTCTTCCTTCTCATACTCAGAAAATAATGAATAATAATGTCTTTAAAAGTTCCCACTGCTGAGTAGGGTTTTTTTGCTAGGCTGAGAAGGAAATTAGTCATCAAATAAAATATCTAGAGCTTGTAGGTGGGTGACAAAATAAGAATATTAGGAGCAAGATTACATTTAGCAGCCTACATCTTTCTGAGCTAAATATAATATATATAAAGAAATGCGACTGATTAAAACAAAAATAACAACAACAGACACAGAACAGAAGAAGCCAGGGCTGGGGATTTAGCTTAGCGGCAAAAGCGCCTGCCTGGCAAGCGCAAGGTCGGGAGTTCGGTTCCCGGTACCGGAGGAAAAAAAAAAAAAAAGAACGGAAAAAGCCAAGTGACTTTGCCCCTTTCTGAAGAAGACCAGTGGTTCTTGGTCTTTTTTGGAGGATCGCTTTGAAAACTACCAACAAAACAGAAGCTGCTTCTACTGCTCTAAAATACTTTAGCTGTAATTCCCAGAGAGTTGAAAATGTCAGACTATCCTGCAGCAATATTTTGGGAATCTGTACTTTGAGTCAGCCATGGGGGGATCACGGGTGGCCTGGTGTCAGTTCTATTCTGTGTGAACTCTACACCACAGGCAGCACGCGCCTTCTGCTCACTAGCATCACCTTCCAGCTATTTGAACATAACAGAACAATACGCAAGGCACCTGATACCCATTCAACTCTAAATTTGAACTTTCCTTCCTATTATTTCCCTCCTGTGCATAAAACCTAATTTGGCAAGATTTCCTAAACCAGTGCAGGTACTATCTCTTCAAATCTATTTCTCACCAATTTAAATATCTCACTTAACCTATCCTATGAGCCGATTTAAGTCCCTAAGGATGCTCTCTTTGTCTATAATATTTTCTGTGTATCTCTGGTGAAACACTCTCCTCTAACTCTCAACTTAATCTTTAACAGTTTTACCCATTCTTCTGCATTCAAACAGAGTGCACTACTCAAAGAATGCCCTAGTTCTATATAAATATGAGTCTTTGGGACTCTTTTCTTTTTTTTTTATTATTAAAAAAAAAGGTGAAAAATAGTAACAGACAGACAACATTTTACAAAATAGCAAAGGATCAGTACAGACAGTACACAGTTACAAACAGAGTGGTAGGGAATTAACAATGCTTGTTGTATTACATATTGATATCTTCAAAGTGGTTTCTCGTGAAAACAGATATAGACATACAAAGCTGATCAACCAAGGACTCATTCAAGGAGATACAAATGGCAAATAAATATATGAGAAAATGTTCAACATTATTAGTCATTACAGAAATGCAAATTGGAACTCTTTTCTATAGTGTTGGAGACTATTTCGTGTACTGGGTCACATTGATAGCAATTTTTTAATTACTAAATCAACTGGGAGAAATATTTTGTCCTACAGTTTTCTGGAGGAGAAACACCCAGTTGGTAGTCAGAAAAATTCTTGGTAACTGTGTGCGAATATAAGAAACTGTAGGGTGTTACACCTAAGATTTCAATACTGCTGCTAAAGAGCTCCTTGGTGAAAGAATTTAAAAGACAATACTCTTTTCTATTTAGATAAGAAAATAAAGTGTTTTGTACCAATGTGTCCTTTGTTACGCAGTGCCTGGTATCAAAATATTAAGTACAAGTTTTTGCTAAGTTTATTTTTGCAACTTATTTATACTATAGGTCTTTTATGGAACATTTAATTACTTTCAGAGTTTAAAGAAAATCTCACCTTCTTTGCTCTGCTTTGGAAAAATCACAAAAATTTACTGCATGTCCTTGATGCTATTCATAATTTGACTGATAAAAGACTTTCAGTTATCATTTCTTATAATTGGATTTAATTAAAATTATCACAGATTGTATTATTATTACCTTCTTTAAATGTCATTCACATCTTAGACACCACAAGGAGAATACGTGTAAAACTTGCTTTTTTAAATGCAACCTCTTTCCGAGTCCGTCCTCCTAAGCACATATAAGTTGATTTTATTCCTTTTTGCAGCCAAGACTGTTTCATATCTGATTTTTTTCCTTGCAGTCACGTATATCCTACTATCCTTTCTGTTGTGAAATGTGCTCTGGCTTCATGAGGAGGGCTGGTTTAGTCTCTTTTCTATTGAAGAAGTCGGAGAACTAGTTTTGTGTTGTCCCCCCAGATAGCTTGATTTTCTAAGTCATTTATCAAGTCTTCTTATCATCAGTGTAAGCATTGTTGAAATTCTGTATTACTATGACTTGAATTCTTCTCTGTGACACTTTCCTATCTCTTCTCATTGTACAGTAACTTCTTGTGGTAAGTTTTGCACATTTTGAACATTTCAATTTAGCATTATTTAATAGGTGCATCACCAATGTTTTGGACTGCTGCTACAAAGTAGTTTATGGTGAGACAGTAACGTTTCATATAAAACATTCATATTATTCATTGATGTATTCCAATTTGTACAATGTGATATTATAGAGAATCTGAAAGAGAAGCTTCACCTGTATCCATTTTTCTATTAAAAATAAACCCTCTAGATAAACCCCTGAAATACATGTGTCATGGTATTACATTGTTCTGTGTGTGTTAAGCGTGTTAGGTGGGCACACGCTTCATGACTCAGTGAGGAATAAAATACAGAAGCGTTTATCGCTAGTTTAGCAAGTCTGACCTTGGGTTCAGATTATCACAGTTGAGACAGGTCCGCAAAGCTCTGAGGAAAGTTAGGCCCAGTCATGGGGTCCTGCACTCAGGTGTATTCTCTGCATGGCTCACTTGCAGCAGACAGAGTGACTACAAACTTAAACCCTCCACGGGGAGCCCTGCGCAGCAGTTTGAACATGCGTTACAAGTCCTAACTCACTCAAAATATATGCTATGAAGGGGCTGGGGATTTAGCTCAGTGGCACAGCGCCTGCCTGGCAAGCACAAGGTCATGAGTTCGATTCCC